CGAGAGGCCGAGCAGCCTGAGGCGGGCAGCGCCGCCACCACCTCAGCGCCGCGGCCGCCGCCTCGGCGCAGCAGCTCCTCTCACCACCCTCAGAGCCACAACCACCTCCACTTCCGCCTCCCGGCCGCCGTCGCTGACCCCGCGGGGTTACGCATGCGCGGGCCCCAGCGCGCGCCCCGATTGGCTGAGGTGGCGGCTACGTGACTGGCGTGGCGGCGTGGACCCCGAGCCCCCCGGAACGCCACCGCCGAGAGCTCGGGAAGCGGCTACGTCGTGGGCGTTGCGGGCGCTCCCCCCACCCCCCACGTTAGGCCGATCGGTGGGTTTGGGTAAGGCTGGCGCGCTGTCCTCGTGCAGCTGCGAGGATGAAATGGACGGTCTGTGGCTGCGTGTACGGCAGGCTCTCTGAGCTTCAGCATTCTTTCCAGTGTGTCTTCAGCACGTAGGTCAACATGGAGAGCCACGATCAGTGCCTGTGCCGCAAACATGAGCAGACGCTATTCTAGGGATGCAATGGCGGTGACATCTGGGTGTGTCACAGCACATCCTGCACGTGTGCGGGTATACAGAGTATATATGCAGGTAGCAGGTACCCGCTAGGAAATACGTTTCGGAGTGCACTGTTTATATCGGGGTTTCTCAACCTCCGCACTGTTGACATTTGGGGGCCTGGTAATTCTTCCGGATAAACACTTTTGTAAAGTGTTTATAAGCATCCCTGGCCTGACCCACTAGAGACCAGTGGCACCCTCCAAGTGGTGACAACCGAAACGTCTCCGGACATTGCCAACGGTCCCCCTGGGGCCAAAATTGTCCCGTTAAGAGTCACGGGCGTAGGTGAAAGTACATATGCCATGTGTAGATAGCATATGCATACAACACGAGACCTCGGGGGAGCACTGTATAGGTTCATTACAGTAGTAGGTGGCATTTAATAGTGTGCCAGGAACTAACTTGAGTGCTTTCCATACTTTACCTCCCTAAGAGTAACAATGACTTTATGAGACAGGTACTAAAATTAGTCCCATTTTATACAGGAGGAACCTGAGGCTCAGAGAGAGAAACTTGCTCAGGATCTCACACTTAGTAAGTGGCAGAGCTAGGATTTTGAACCCGGCCTATCTGATTCCAGAGCCAACGCCATCTCTTTACTAAATCATCTCTTTAATGTATGACAACCCACAGTGTGTGTGCCTATTTATGATAGCGTAGTGTAAGTAGCAGATCTCTATTTTACTAATGTCATCTCTCAGTGGAAACAATGAACATGCCAGTCATGGGAGCGTTGCCCGATCGTCCACTAGTGGGAATATGCAGACGACGGTGTCCTCAGTGACGACGAAATTCAATTCTTCAGGCCCCAGAGACATCTTTCGTCTCTGTTAAGCCCTCGCACAAAAAGTGTTGATGCTTTTAGGAGCCTATAAATAAACTTCTCCTTCCATTATAAACTTCGGTCTTGGCATAGGGACATTAAATAAAACTGAAAACACAACCTCTAAATTTTTCGTTTGAAAATTCACTGCCCAATTCAGCAAATTTCCAATTACATGAGACACACGGTATATCATCTTGAAGATTTACTGCGTTTAAGAGTCTTGTCTTTAGATTCTTGGTTTATTGAATCTTTACGGTGGCCCTAAAGTGACTCTCATAAACCTGTAAGCTGTCTTACCAACCTGTTTCGCTGTAACCTGATTTTCAGTAAGCTTTTTAACTGTAGAAATCACATAAAAAGCTTAAAGATTTTCACGAGGAAATGACTACAAATAGAATTTGCTTTAATTATTTTGTTTTCCCCCCAGCTTTTTATATCAGACCTACAGAAAAGTTTAAAGAATAGTATAAGATCTCTCAATACCCTTCCTCATATACCTTTAACCTAGATTGACTGATTAACATTTTGCCACATTTGATTTGTCTCTACATGTATCTATAGGTATGTGTGGGTGTGTGTGTGTGTGTGTGTGTGTGTGGTGAATGGAACCCTTCATTGAGCTAAGGAACCCAGAAAAAGGAGTAGTCAGGGAGGGAGGGTGGAGATAGAGTTCAATTCTGGTTGTGGTTTGCAGCATTTGGAGATCAGTGGAGATGTCTAGTTGGCACTCTGAGCTCCAGGATGGAGGTCTGGATCGGAGGCAGTGAAGGCAAACTGTGTCCTGTGCCTTCTTTCACAGCTTTGGCCTCAACATGTACATAAGGCTGCTTTTCCAGTCCTCGCATCTCCGGTGGGCTTGGAGGACAGCCTTCCTGAAGAAGCCCAATCAGTGTGGGCAGCAGGGAGCCTGGCGATGGACACATTCTGGAGGTGGCCCCTACCGAGCGGTCATTTTTGACATGGGAGGAGTTCTCATTCCTTCTCCAGGGAAATTGGCTGCAGGTGAGCTCTTGGTTCTATTCTACTTCCAGAGACGGGGGGAGTGGGGGAGTGGAGGGTGGTAAGGGAAGACAGAGGGGAACATCTGGGCAGCAGTGTTCCACTGTCCCAGTGGGTAATATTCTGGCTCTTAAATTCCAAGCACCACTTAGTGGTTGACTATGTTGGGCAAATTTGTCACCTTCTCTGGGTCTTAGTTTCCTCATCATTAACTTGGGACTAATATTAGTACCTACCTCTTTGGGGTTTGGGGAGATTGAAATGAGATGTTCCACGGAAAGTACTTGTTTAGCACAGTGAGTGTTCGGCTCACCTACAATTCTCAATGAGCTGCCACTGTTACTGGTAGGATTAGTTACGGTTCCCTGAGAACTGTACTACTTCTGAGATCTTGAGTGCTGAAACCCCCGCCCTTGATCACACCTTCCCCCTTCCAGCAACCTCCTCCTGAGCCTGCCAGAGCAAACCTCTGGTCTCTGATCCCTTCTTTGTCAGCCCCCTCCTGGTTTTACATTTTTTCCTACTTAGTTCAACTGACTTAAGTTTGACTAGTTTTGGCTCCAGGCATTAGAAAACCAAACAAAACAGTGGCTGAAACAAGATAGGGGTTTATTTCCTTTGCACAAGAAAGCCCAGGTGTGTTGCCTGGGGCTAGCGTGCTGCTCCGTGGTATCAGGGACTCAGGCTCTTTCTGCTGTGTTGCTCTGCTGTGAGTTCATTTCCAGTTTCACCTCAAAGTCTGTCTTGGCTGCCTCACCGCCTGCCATTACTTTCTCATGTAGCCAGCAGGAAGGAAAGCGGGCCAAACAGCTGTCCCTATCCTTTTGACCTATTGTGGCTGGCTGGCAGTTCTCCATGCTAAATGGACTCAAGTGCAGATTTTTCTATGCTCCTGGGTAAAAAGTTACCCAGCTATGCAAACTGGCCAAGTGAGCTATTTTTTTTAGCTCCAGGGGCAGCTGGGCCCTCCGCCTCTTTATTCCTCCACTCATATTCCTCCCGCTTTACCACAGGGCTATTCCAGACACCCCCACAAGTCATCACATTCCCCCGCCCCAGACCTTCATACTTGGCAGACAGAGAACATAAAGACCACCGGGCAGGAATCTTCTTGACTTTCTCTAGAATATCCTGAGAACCTATTCGCTCCTCGCCACTCCCACTGCCTCTACCCAAGTATGTCCCTGTCTTCTCCCACCTGCATGATCACATCAGCCTTCTAACTGCTCTCTCTGCCTCTGGCCCTCTGGGGTTTGCACCACTGTCCACGCAGCCCCCAGAATTGCCTGTCTGAGACACAGATCTTATCCTTGACTCCCCCGCTTTGGATCCTTGAGTGCCTGCACTTTGTCCCTTACATGAGGGTCAGAAGCTTTCGCCTGGTATTCAGGACCTCTCATGATTAGCCTTGGATCCTCACACCATTTCCCGCTGTGTGTCCACGTTTCAGCTGCCGTAGACTACTTGATGTTCTCTAAAGTTTCCCAACACATGTATAGTCCAGTGCTTTTGCAAGTTCTGTTCCCTCTGCTGGCAGCTACCCTTCCCTGCCTCCTCTGTAGATGACTTGCTTAAACTTCACTCAGTCAGAAAACAGATTCCTGTGGAACAGTTAGTATGTGCTGGACAGTGGCTAGGAGTGAAGGGATACTGTGTTCAGTGCCACAGACACAGTCCCTGCCCTCTGGGATACGCACTTACCACAGCTCAAGTGCTCAGTCACCACAGGTGGCTAGTGGCTACTGTATTGGAGATACAGCATTTCCATCACTGTAGAAAGTTCCACAGTTTACGAAATGAAGAGTTTGTTTTGGAGTGCTGTCAGAATCTGGCTTATTACCACATGTACTTTCTTCCTATGTGGCCAGGACTGTGTGAGTCGCCTAATATATATGAGCCACCTAATGAGAAACCAGAGAAGGAAATTTATAATGCAGTGTCCAGTGTCATCTCAAGCAGGTGGTAAGGATATGAGACTTAGCAAGAATGTTCCCTCAGTCACACAAATTAGTGCTGCTATTCCCTTGGAGATCTAAGGCTGAGATTTGCATTTCTTGAGTTTTTCCAAATTCCCAGGAGAGCCCACTTGGCACGATAGCGATGCCATGGGAACTGGTACAGTAATTCCCCTGAGCTCCCTAAACGCCAGCCGTTTGTTAGTGGATTTCATTTATTGCATCTTTTATTTCCTATAGAGTGGGAGGCACAAAATCATATCCCTTCCGGAACTATATTGAAGGCCTTCATCTCAGGTGGCGAAAATGGGCCCTGGCTGAAATTTATGCGAGGAGAAATAACAACAGAGGATTTCTTACAAGAATTTGGGAGGCTCTGCTCTGAAATTGTGAGTGGTAAACATAGTTGAATTTCTATATTCTTTTTGCCTTCAGTAATGGATGTAACAACACTCATCCATATTTATTAAACTGCAAATAAAGAAGTAAAAATCTAATAATCCATTGTAAGTTTTTAAGCTATTCTATCCTTGGGTACTCACTTTAACAGTATATATGAGTAAGTAAAAATATTCTTTTACTAAGCGCCTCCATCAGCTGTTGTGCATCTGAAACAGGAGCTGTCTGTATAATGGCTTTGATCAGAAAGCTTGTTTCAGGCAATAATAATATTGAGCCTTTGCTCTGTGCTATGCATTTTTCTAAGCTCTTTATATTAAATCATGTAACCTTCACAATAACCCTGCTAAAAGTATAATTTAAAAATTATAGTAAATAAAGTTCTGTGGCTGAATGGTAGAGATGGTTGGATGGTTGCACAGCAACGAATGTACTTAATGCCATTCAGCTGTACACTTAAAGTGGTTAAAATAGTCAATTTTACGTTATGTATATTTTACCACAATTTTAATCTTGAAAAAATTATGCTAAGTGAAAAAAAGAAGCCAGTGGAAAAAAAAAAATACATTGTACGATTCCATTTATATGAAATGTCCAGAATAGGTAAATCTGTAAGAAACAGAAACTAGATTAGTGATTTGCTCAGACTGGGAGGACTGGGGGGATGGAGGGCGTGACTACTAATAGGTGTGCAGTCTCTTTTAGGGTGATGAAAGTGTTCTGAGACTGATAGTGGTGATGGCTGCACGACTGTGTGACTATATTAAAATCCACTGGATTGTATGGTTTAAATGAGTGAGTTGTGTGGTATGTGAATTGCAATTCATTAAAGCTGTTGTAAAATGTGAGTGTGTGTGCATAAGATAGCAGGCAGGCCTTTGCAGATTTTAAAACCCGATAAAGTAAGAGTTTTCAAAACCCACACAGATTGAATTAAAAAAAATTGATCAGAAACTGAAGTTTGTAATGGTGAGCTGAGGCCATACAAAATCATTAAATGTCTCCCGGATCGCTAAAAATTAAATTACATCTACTTTTAGAGTTTAGTGTATCCTCTTACGGTATCCTGCTGCTTTTTAAAATTGACAGCCCATGAGTGAAATGAAGAACTCCTTTAACTGGAATATTGACATAAATAGCTCCATTCCCTAACCACTGGAACTCTAATTCTAAGTCACCGGTTACAATCTTATATGCAAAGTTCTGCACAGCGGCCAAGGAAGAGGGTCCTGCAGGAAGGAGCCAAAGGCCAGGGCTTCTCCCGCCGGGGAGCAGCAGGCAGCTGGGAACCGTGTTTCCTCTGCCGCTGATAAGCTGATTTTGCTCTTCACGCTTGCGCGGCCCCTGCCCTCCCTTTCCCAGTCAGAGACCTCTGTGCCTGTGGGCTCCTTCCTCTCTCTGCTGACCAGCGAGCACGTGGCGAAGCAGTTCCCAGTGATGACTGAGGCCATAACGCGAATTCGGGCAAAAGGCCTTCAGACTGCCGTCCTGAGCAATAATTTCTATCTTTCCAATGGCGAAAGTTTTCTGCCCCTGGACCGGAAACAGTTTGATGTGGTAAGTGTGAAGTGATCCAAAGCAACAATCAAACAGTCTGTCCTGGCCTCAGCACGCAGCATCTAACACTGCCCTGCAGCAGGTCCTGAGTGAATGGGTTTTTAAATTTTTATTCAGACACTTGAATGAGTTAGGTTTAGACATAACGGGTTGAAAAGAGGGCTTTTAAAATCACTGAGCTCTTAGCACAGTCAGACATTTATGGGATCCGATAGCTGGTTGAAACCTCAGGGTTAGAGACTTCCTTCCATTCCGGACTTGAACCTGAGTCCTCACATAACACTTCCATCAGTCCTCTTAATGGGCCCTCTGACCTTTTCTCTTCAAAGACCAACCATGGTGCCCTGTTTCCATGACATCAATCCTTAGATGTCAATTCTATTGGATTTTATGTCCTAAAATAGCACTATCCAACAGAATTCCTTGTCTCCGCTAGTACCGCTGTGTGCTTCCCTGTGCGTGATACGTTGATGGGTGTCTGAGACACCAGCTTCTCTGCTACCTGCTACTGATGGTTTCTTTAGAAGGAGCTTCTTGGTGTTCTTTTAGCTCATTCAGGTCCTCAGGAGACCAGGAAGAGTCAGTAGAGAGGTCCCGTTTACTCAGGACATGTACCAGAAAGCGCAGTCCTCGCTAACCCTGAATAATGCCAACGTGGAGCAGAGGGAGGGGCCGTCAGGTTTGTCCTTGGTCTTGGAGAGCGTGCGTCACTCCAGCATTGAGCCGGGGATTTGGTTCTGTTCTAAGGGTGGACCAGAGGCTATTGGTTATAGGCCTCTTTGGCCACCTGAGGCCCACTTTATAGGAGATTGAGCCTTGGGGACAGTGTAAGAGGGGACTTCAGGGGGTGCTAGATTAGAGAGCCTGACACTGAGGCAGCTTTTTCAGGGTTCTCCTGAACCCTCACCCCCCTCCCTCCCAGATCAGAGACACAGCGGAAGCGAGGCTGTCAGGATACAGGAGGCTCTTCACAGGACAGAAATCGTCTTTTCCACTGATGATCTCTTGGGTGGGATTTATTTGTATAAACTGAGTATGGCTGTTCTTTAACTTCTGAAATACAGACATCAAAGCCATGTGTTTCTTTTATAACAGTAAATAGTGCCTTCTTTTGGGGGAAAAAAAAAACCATGGTGAAATACTTTCCCTAAAACCGAAAGGTACAGCTTCTCTTCTGCTTGGTGTGGGCACAATAGCTAACATTAGGAAAACGCTTTGTCATTCTGGAACTCATTCAAGTTTCATTAAGTTTCACAACAACCACGAAGAGAGATAAGATGGCCATTAGTATTCCCACTTGACTGGTGATGAAACAGGCCCCCTGCGATTCCGCCCTGGCTCTGCCGTGGCCCCGCTGTGTGCACAAGGTCACTGTAGCTGAACCAGAACTTGGGCTTTCTGAGTTTGCCCCTGGGTTTTAATCCAGTATCCTCAAACCACTCAACTTAAACAAGCAGCATTTTCTACCATAATACTCTTAAGTTTCTTTGTTATAACAAAATCTCAACTGCCTGCCTTCTGTGCTTTAAAAACCAACACCAGCATGAGTGTGAGAGCACCACTTTTAGGGACCTTTATCTATTCCTGTCCCTCCCTCAGGTCGTGGAGTCCTGTGTGGAAGGCATCTGTAAGCCAGACCACAGGATCTACGAGCTGTGCCTGGGGCGGCTCGGCCTGCAGCCTGCGGAGGCCATCTTCCTCGATGACCTTGGACACAACATCAAAGCAGCTGCCAGTCTTGGCATTCACACCATTAAGGTAATGTCACTATTCTTTGAACCTACTGTGCTCCAGACACCAGCGTGAGCATTTCTGGGCAGTTCTCTCACCTTCATAGTTGTAGCTGCCTTAAGTGGTTTTCCTCCATGTCGCTGTAGTCTTTTTATTATGAAATCTGTGTGACTAGCTGCTTGTATTTTTAATGGGAAGTAAGATAGACACGTACTAAGAAGGCAGTTTGAGAAGAGTTATACAAGGAGGCCAAGGGCAGGCTTCTGACATTCGGGATGGCAGTCAGGCTGTCCGCTGTCCGAGTGACGCTCCTCTGGGTGGGGAGCCAGCAGCTACCAGCCACACGGACCACCCCAGGTCACGACCGTGAAGCACGAGAGGCCCCGTGAGCAGGGTTTGGTCCAGCTTTCCACACGTGAGTTTTCCTCTAGACGCTCATGGGCTCACAGGGACAGAGTGGATGCTGTAGCACAGTCCTCGCTCCTCCTGGCACGAGGGAGCACCACGGGGTCTTACCTGGAACTCTCCTCAGCAGATAGAAAGTTTAATGTGGTTAGGAATTAAATGGGGAGAGGAAACTCATTCTACGGCTTCCTCATTAGCTGAATATCCTGCCTTTGAGGCCTTTGCTCTGAGAACTGAGCTCTTGGGTATTTCCTTCTAAAAATTGCCACCCTAGAGAACAGGCAGGAAGAGAGGTCAAGGTTGACCGGTGGCATATTCAGTGTTTTCTCTGAACCAGGTTAATAACCCAGAGGCTGCAGTGCAGGAATTAGAAACGCTTTTGGGTTTTACTTTGAGACCGGTGATTCCAAACACTCGCCCTGTGAGAAAGACAATGGAAATTCCAAAGGATTCCCTGGAGAAGTACCTCAAAGACCTACTGGGGACCCAAGCCACAGGTATTTATGTTTCTGTATTTTGGGAACTCTTTCCAAGGCGGGGCTTTCAAGCCAGTTCTAACTTTGGAATGGACCAGAGACAGGCACGGTGGCGAGGAAAACAGTCACTGAGCCCAGCAGATCTGAGTACTGCTCTCAGTTTCACTTGAGAAAAGCATTCACCCCCTTTTTATGGATCCCCGAAGATATACTTGCCTGCTCTTCCACCGAGAGTGTGACAGGCTGCAGAAGCCTGCCCACAGCTGTTGAGGAGGGGAGCCCGGGGACTGTAGGCGCCCAGGGGCGCTTGAATGCTAATTTTTTTGAAGTGCCAGCCTGTTTGTAAAGGTAACCTACAAGCTGCATAAATAGAAAATGTGACACGTTGTCTCCATCTCTTCAGAGGTCCCACCCCTCTTCACATTCCAGCCTCAGAAAAACAGATGCCTCATGTGCTTTTGAAGGAATTTCTACCTGGTGACAAGGTTTCGCCTCACCCAGTTGATCCCTGAAAAAGGCCTTTTGTGTGGTGCTTCCCATTATGAGGTGTCCCAGCGACTGGCGTGTTCTCAGCGCCTCTGCAAAGCCGAGGGGCCCTCTGTTCCATTAGGCTCGTTGAGGGTAGTGCGGCCCGACGGAGGGGCCCTTTCTCACAAGCCAGATAACTCGAGCAAACTCCCATTTCCTGCTCCTCTGATCCAGTGAAATTCATCTGTGTCCAGAGCGTAGTCATATGATGACGCTGAGGGCTCATTAGGATGTTTCTGTAAGGGAGACGCAGAGTCCAAGGTGCTGGGTGGGAAATCGCATCTCGCGAAAGCAGCTCTGGCTCCGGCTGTGGGCCTCTGCTCGGCTCCTTCCAGCTGTCCCCAGTGTCAGGCGCAGCTGGGCTGAGCACGGACTAAGGGACGCACAGGGCGCTTTTCAACCTCGGCTTCAAGCGCCCCACTTAGGGAGATGGGTTGCATGACTGCGTGTGGTTATAGACAAAAGTCCTTTCTTCCCGGAGCAGGAGCTGGCAAGAAGGGCAAAACTGGGCACCGTACAGAGTGAGAACATCGCGGTAAATCCAGAGGCCCCGCCACACTGTGGTGGCTTGTGGTTCTGGACCGAGCTGCTGGGGCGCGGCGCCATCCCTCCGTGCCTCCCGCACGCTGCACTCACGAGAAAGAAAGGAGGTCCTTCCAGGGCTGCCCTGCAGAGCTGGTCTGAGTTCTCTGTTTTCAAACTTGCAGGCCCGTTGGAAGTCCTGCAGTTTGATCACGGGCAGTCGAATCTCACTTACTACATCCGGCTGGCTGACCATCAGCTGGTTCTGAGGAAGAAGCCCCCGGGGACACTCCTTCCATTGGCCCACGCAGTGGAGAGGGAATTCAGGTAAATCCTCGGGCCAGGGTGCACTCGCCCCCCCAGCCTCCGAGCTCGGCCCCATGGAGTCAGCTCTCCGCCAAGGCCTTGAGACCTTTAAAGCTGCACGTGTGGCTCCAGAATTATTTCCAGTGAGAACAGTAACCTAGTTTCATTCATAAGTTTGTTTTCTTTTCTGTACCTAAACCTGTAGGAGACTAGACTGTTTTGGATCTTTTAGATGAAAAAAGGCCTCATTAAGAAACTCTTTAGCCTTACCCTTTAGTCTTAAAGACTCTAAGACCTTTCGTCTTACCCTCCTGGGCGGCTTCCTCTTCCAGTCTCTTGCTGCTCTGCAGAAGGAAAGCTGCAGAGAGCAGGAAGGATGCGATTTTGGCTCCTGGCCCCTTCTCCTTCTTTCTGTTCACCGTCTCTCCTCTGGAATTTCTGGTTCCTAAAATTTGACTTCTCCAAGTGTTGCGGGGACTGACAACTGATGATTATGAAGCCTCGGGGGTTCATGAGAGGAGAAAACCTAGAGCTCTTTCTGATCATTTGTATATGTGTCACGTAATGACAGTGGGTGTTTATGGAAGAGAGACCCTAAAGTGTAAAACCACCACTCTGTGTTATGCATCCGGCTTGTGAACTCCCTCTAACCATTCCCAGAGGTGCTGAGGAATTCTGGAGCGCTAGAGTGACATTCCAAAAATCCTGGGATGCACAGAATTCCCATTTTAGTAAAGGAATAAAATGTGCATTTGAATATGAAACCTAATATGGTATCTGCTTATAAAATTCCAACTGTACATTTGAACAACTGTTTTGGAAAACACTATGGCACAATTTATTAAAAACTTTAGAGTAGTCATACTTTTGGACCTAATAATTCCAACTAGGGGAGTCTCTAAGAAATAGTGACGATCAGTAAATTCAATAGCTTAGATAAAATGGACAAATTCCTTGGAAATTACCACTTACTAAGACTAAAACAAGAGTCAGTCGAACATCTTGCCTACTTTTGGGTCAGTTGAATGTTTCTTAGAATTATATTTTAATTTCTGCACGGACTGATTTTTAAATCAGAAAAATCACTGAAAGCCTCATCAGCTCAGCCTGCAGTGGTGCTCATCTCCCCTTGTTCCGGCAGGATCATGAAAGCCCTTGCCAATGCTGGAGTGCCTGTCCCCAGAGTCCTTGACCTCTGTGAAGATTCAAGGTGACGTTCAGATGTATTCTTTCCATTGTCTGTTCACGCTACAGAAGAGAAAAGCCGGTACCCTAACTCAGATTCCAGTTTGTTTCAGTAATTTGGTAGGAGAGCAAAGAGACTGTATAGCAGCTCCCCCAGAAGTTCATACACAGATCTGTAAGTTATCCTGAAAGGTAAAGAAATGCCTGCTTTTGTGAGAATTGGTAGAAAACATCTTTTTTTTTTTAATCCTCGCCTGAGGATATTTTTTCCATTGCTTTTCAGAGAGTGTGGAAGGGGGAGAGAGAGAAACATCAATGTGAGAGAGACACATCAATTAGTTGCCTCGAGCCTGCAACCCGAGGTATGTGCCCTTGGCTGAAATTGAACCCGAGACCCTTCAGTCTATGGGCTGACGCTCTAACCACTGAGCAAAACTGGCTAGGGCTATAATATGTTTTTTGAGTCTGTCCCTTTTTCCTAACTATATAATTATGAGAATTGTGAAACATACAGAGACTTGAAAGAAATAGTATTTTAAAAAAAGAAATAATAGTATAGTGAGCACCAGTTTACACTTCATCTAGATTAAACATTGTTAACATCTTGCCACATTTCCTTTATATATGTGTGTATACATAGGTGTGTACATGGATTGCATATATAAAATCATTTTATATAAATAGTAATTATAAAATACTTTATATATTATAATTATATGTAACTATTTTACATGTAATTACTTTATAACTAAGTATATTTTATGTATATGCCTAAAATAGTTTTAGCTGAACCTTTGAAGGAAGTTGCAGGCAGCATACATCCCCTAAAAGTGAAGACATTTTCTTTCATAACCACGGCAGCATTATTACACCTAAGATCATTAACTATAATTTAATAATATAACTTAATACCTAGCTCATGTCAACTCAGGATGAAGTTATGATGGTAGAAGTTTCAAAACAATTTTTTAGAGTCGTAAACTTATTCCTAAAATGACTGAAAACTGGCCCTTCACCATGGCACCTTAACCCTATAGTCCGGTATATGTGCCATCCATACCACTGGGTAATGACCAAACAACAATAATAAGAAGGGATATTTATCGAACCCTCATTAGAACAGACACATACGCCAGGCACTCCATATATATTCGCTCTCTTGAAGTATGGACAGGGCGGTGTGCGGGGACTGGCTTGGGAGGGAGTCCTTCTAACCCCTGTGCTCATGTGCAGTGGAACAAGGAACTGCCCAGTGCTCTGGGTCTGGATCCTTCCCCAGCACCCACAGCACACACAGGGTAGAAGGAGCAGTGCCACGACCAGCAGCCTCCACACTGTGAGCCACTGGAACACGCTGTCTGTGTCCCTCCCAGGGTCATCGGCGCGCCCTTCTACCTGATGGAGTACTGCCCAGGCCTCATCTACAAAGACCCCTCCCTGCCAGGCTTGCCGCCCAGCCAGAGGCGGGCCATATACGCTGCCATGAACAGAGTCTTGTGCAAAATTCATAGCGTGGACTTCAAGGCTGCAGGCCTAGAAGACTACGGGAAACACGGTGAGCACCGGGCCACTTGTCTTTCATGCTGAGTATTTCCTCACTGTGGCCTCTGCTTTCGGGATTTGCACGGTGTCAGGGGGTTAATGCGCCAAGCGGTTGCTGCCTGTGAGGTGGGTTTCTTAGCGTCCTGCTTGGAAATCCACTTCACTGGAATGGAGGTGTTGCTCACCTAGACGTTTTGTCCTAGGGTAGATCTCTCTGCGGACTACAGAATCTCTCTCCCCAGCAACTTTTGTCTCACTAAATGGTTTAAATCTTTTTTCTGATACTGGCCCAGGGTATTTAAGACACTTTCATGACCGTCTACAGAATTTAGCGTCAATACACTCATACAGAGGAAGCAAGGGAGGGAGGCTCAGAGAGGTTAAATCAGCTGGAGACCTTGACTGTGAGCTACGTTAACTCCACAATTCCAAAAGGAATTTCAGTGTCCAGTCCCAGGTGTAACTTGCAAGTTTCTCAGCTGTTGTATCTCTTGGGTTTCTTAGCAAACAGCTAAATAGTAATAGCAAACCCCCGGTGCTGGGAAGAGCTTCAGGGCTTTCTTTCTATGTTTCACCCTCCCGGCAACTCTGTGAGGACCATGCCATCGACAAGCATAAACCGAGGCACAGAGACAACGGCAGAGCTGGGACTCAGGTCCAGGCAGCCGGCCCCGCGCCCGTGCTCTTAGCCAATCACTGTTGTTTAGCCAAAGAGAGATTTCCTAAAAGCTCTCAGGGGGCTCGTAGGACCTCCGAGAAGGCCAGCGACCAGGCTCGGAGGCCACATGGCCGGGAGCGACGCCAGCCCACACCAACGGAGCCAAGACAAAGCAGCGGCAGCTGTCCCCGGGGCAGCAGGAGCATCCTGTGGGACATCCGTCAGACCACGGAGATGCTACGGACTGTTACAAAGGGTTTCACCGCCCAGGGTAATTTTTGAAACTGTAGAGGTTGTTGGGACGCGCATCATGCTCTAATTCTCTTTCGCTCAGGGGACGACATCCCACACCAGGTGCAGACCTGGATTCAGCAGTATCGAGCCTCGGAAACCAGCACCATCCCGGCCATGGAGAGGCTCATCGCATGGCTGCCGCTTCATCTCCCCAGGCAAGAGAAGATCGCAGTGGTGCATGGGAACTTCAGGTAGATGCGATGAGGGGTTACTGTTTACGTGTGAAAAGTGGTGGGAAGGGCATCTTAAGAGGAAATCAAGCAGCTGCTCTTGGCCCAGTTTATAGCTGTGAATTAGTCCCTTTACAAAGGATCTCCCTGTGCACGGCCTTGTGAGGCAGGGCTCTCAGCCTTGGCTCCACAGACACTTGGGACCAGATAATTCTTTATGCTGGGGCGCTATCCTGTGCAACTGAGGGGGTCAGTACCACACTTAGGCCTCAAGGTGCAAGGGTGTGCTCCAGTTACTCTTACTGCATAACCAGCTCCTCCAAAACTGCGTGGCTGTAAACTACAACAGCAGGTTTTCCGCTCACAAATCTGCAGTCTGGGGACAGGAGAGCTTGTTTCAACTGAGGTGGCTCTGAGGCTGGGGGCTGGAACCACCTGAAGGCTCACTCACAGGCCTGGCACTGGGGCAGAGGAGACATGAACAGCTAGACTCCTCGGGCCTCTCCCTCTGTCTGTGGTTTCCCACATGGTTTCTCCAGCACAGCAGCTTCTGGGTAGGAGAACTTCTTACGTGGACGCTCAGGGCTCCAAAAGTGTGTGTTCTGAGAGAGAGGGCCGAGCGGGAGCTGATCACCTGTTCTGACCTAGTCTCAGTGTTACTCAGCATCACTCCCACCTGCATTGTATTTGTTAGAAGCAAGTCGCTTCAGGAGGCAAAGAATTAGACTCTTCCTTTTGTGGAAGGCATGTCAAAGGATTTACAGACCTGTTTTAAATCATCCCAGGGAAGGCGGGATTACCAGGACCCAGAGAGGTTAGCTATGCAGAGAGGGCTACCTGACCAAGCTGTGGCCCTCGGTAGAGGAATGCAGCTGGCCCCTTCCAATCTCCTGCTGGGGGCCCCATTGGCTGAGCCCAGCTGAGCCAGAGGGCAAGGGAGGCGGTGGAAATGGCCACAGCTTCTGTAGCTCAGGCTCCAGAGGCGCAGAGGGGCCAGAAGAGTAAATGGAAAATGACAAGCACAAAGTACGCCCTTGGCGATCCATCTTAGCTCCATCTCTCCATTCCTTCTGTGGCTTATTCAGGCTGGACAACCTGCTCTTCCATCCAGAGAAGAACGAGGTGCTGGCTGTCTTTGACTGGGAACTTTCTACCTTGGGCGATCCCCTTGCGGATGTGGCCTGCAGCTGCATGGCTCACTACCTGCCCTCCAGTTTTCCCACACTGCGAGGTAGGACCTGCTCGCGGGAGAGGGAGGGGTTGAGCCAGCTCTGTTCCCAAAGCACTGGGGCACACTCGGTGGATGGAGTTGGAGGCCCCTCACTCCTCTGACTGCCAATTTAGTCCCAAACCGTTACGAGCTGATTTGGGAACACCAGCTCTGTGCCTGGAGTGCAGCCATCTGAGGGAAGACGAACCCTGGAAATAAGGAGCTAACCCTTTGAATTGGCTATGGAGCTGACTTCCAAGGGAGGAAGTGACTTTCAGAATTTAAATACTTATGGCTACAGAGGCGTGTGGGGTCACTGACGCCCGGGATGGCTCTGTCACCACAGGCTTGAGGGACTATGATTTGAGTCAGCTGGGCATCCCTGGTGCAGAGGAGTATTTCAGGATGTACTGTCTTCACATGGGGATCTCTCCTGCTGAGAACTGGAACTTCTACATGGCCTTCTCCTTTTTCCGAGTGGCTGCCATCCTACAGGGAGTCTACAAGTGCTCACTCACAGGTAATGGAGTGGGTGACCTGGGAGAGCCAGCCTGAGGGTCCAAATCAGCTCTTTCCCCTGAAACCCACAAAAATTTTAAAGTAAAAACATATGATAAGAATTCAGTCATATAGAAGAATATAAAATTATTTTCCTTTCTTCACAGCAGCATTCCTCAAAGTTCAACACTACTGTTAAGAGTTTCTTGGGCCACCCAGTTTTTTCTATATGTCTACCTTCTCTCACTTTCTCCAAGTTTTATAAAAATGTGATAATCCATTGAAGTGGCATGCACAATCTGAGTAATGAGGGAAAACGTAGCCCACTGTGCTCCTCGGCCCTCCTTGTGCATCAGCGACACAGGGAAGGGGGCTGTCTGGTTCCCGCGTGGCCCCCTAAGCCTCAGGTCCATACTTGAGGTCCAGTGGTTTGCACTCTGCTATGTAGCAAATGGATCTGGTTCCTGATTTGTAAAGAATAGCACATCTTTAACACCACGGCTGCATGAAAATGGCTCTTTTGAGAAGCTGGCCATGGCAGGAGCCAGAAGAAAAATAGGCCCCAGGAAGGTCCATAGAGAATCAGGGAAACAGTCTGTTCAGAGCATGGAAATGCTGAAAATAACCCAGGAGAGCGGGTAGAGAGGCCCACCACAAGGAGGCAGTATACACACACCAGCGGATGGGTCTGCGATGCCTTATGCCGAGTGACAGAAGCCTCCCTGAAAAGACCATGCACCCTGTGGTGTATTTGTGACATTCTGGAAGGACAAACTACAGGAACAGATAGCAGTGTTGGCAGGGGCCGGGGAAGGGGTCGGGTACACAGGGACGCTGTGGAAGTTTGGGGATGATGGGAGTATTCTGTATCTTGATAACGGCGGCGGTTACCTGACTAAACTCGCAGAAATATACACTTCAGAAAGAGGGTGTATGTACGTTATACCTTAGTTAAAAAAATTTTTTTAACCCTTTTTGAAAATTCTTGATGAGCACATTAAAGAAAGCAAAAGAGATGGTAAGAGCATGACTAGAGGGGGTTCTGCGATGCTGGCGATGGTGTTGATCTATCACAGCGGTGCCCAGAAACTGGCTCTTAATCCAACCACTGTGACACTGGGTAACCCAGGGTAGCCCAGGGCTTCCTGTAGCCCAGGCAGACAGCAGAAGTCATTTGGGGTGTTACCGATTTAGTTTCTTTAGGAAAAGAAGAGATAAAGAGCAGAAGACACACCAACTGAGGTTGACTTCTGGCTCCCAGGCTGCTAATGAAAGCTTGGGCACATTTCCTCCCTTCCCAAGACTCAAATATTTGTCTTAAAGTGGGGATTAAAACAGTCAAATTGCTCCAGCAATCCAGTAAGCTATAATAACACACGTAAAGCACTTAATACCGTGTCTCATCCATGGTAAGCGCTCAGCAAATAGCAGTAGCTGCTAATATAACAATATTCTCGTGTGTTAGTAGCAGCATTAGGGGCTTGGGAGTAACCACTGTTTTTCTTCGCTTAGGGCAAGCAAGCTCGGCAACTGCTGAACAAAGCGGGAAGCTTACTGAATTCATGTCTGACCTGGCTTGGGAGTTTGCCGTCAAAGAAGGGTTCCGGATTTTCAAAGAGACACCAGCCACAGTGCCGTTAAGGAGGTCCTACCACACGTGGGCTGGCCCATGGGCCCTGCCGAGCATCCCAGGAAGGAGGAGCTATATCCCCATTCCATAATCTTCCTCGGCTCATGTCACAAAGGGAGCTCCGGTTATCTCCCCAGTGGGCCTGTCCCCACCGGTCAGGGAGCCGCGTCAGCAGCTAAAGCAGTTCATGGAACCATACGTGTACCCAGCTGAGCCAGAGCTGTGTGGTCACCAGGCCTCCATAGAAAGGGGGACCCCTTCCCTCCCACTGGTCAAAGAGCTCAAGGTAAAGCAGCCCTTCAAGAGTGAGCAAGACCTCATCAAAGTGGCAGATCTGTTCCCTCCCCAGGCAGTGGTGAGACGGGGCGCTGAGCTGAATGGTTTTCGCTTTCCACCCCCCCATTCCCTGCCTGTGGTGTATAACCCGGGGCAATGGGCTTATGCGGTTTTTGAATTCGGTAAATCTGAAACAGTGTCATATTAAATACATCCGTTAATAAAGCCTCTCTTTAAAGAATCCATTTGTCAAAGCTAAAGGGCTGAATCAGTCGTAAATTGTGCTCTCCTCATACGGCGACACCACTTTAGCTGAGAAACAGAAGTACCCACTTTTCTGTGTCAGGGTTAGTCTTGACTTGTCTTAGTTCTTAAGTACTCGAGGTCTTCAGGAGCACATACTGTGCCTATGATACAACCATCATCTGCTTTTTTAAAAAATAGCATTATTACTTTTTTCTAGTTACAAACCTATTGCAAAATTAACCAAAGCTCAGACGTGACAAAGTACATAACAGAAAGAACTCTCTAAAACTCTCCACCCTCTGAAATAATCAGTCTACAATTTGGTGTTAGGCTCCCAGCTCCTCTTTTCTATTGTACACCAACATGTGTTATTATTCTATGTTGTAATGAAACTATCTATACATGCACATCTCCTGCTTATTTACTTAACTGTATATCCCCTCCCATGCCAGCACCTGGAGATTGACCTCCGAGGAGTTCTGCAGTGTGGGTGCACCGTGATTTGTCGCCCTCCCCTTGCCTGAGGGACACTGGGTGTTGGTGCAAGCCACAGGAGCCAACTTGGGGTCAGTGAGGGAGCAAAGGCTGTTAGCAAGCTGCTAACATGGACAGGGAGGCAGAAGACCCAGCCTTAGAAGACAGTACATGCTGGTTCAGGGAATCTCCAGGCACCAGAGCAGGGTGGCTGAGGCTGTACCATGTGTCCTGGCCCGGTCCCTCTCAGGTGTGTTGGAGGATCCTCCAGTCTCCTGTCTGCATGAAGCGTGTCCTCAGGAGATGCGTCCTTGTACCATTAGTAATGCCCACTGTGATGGCAGGGGGCACCCGTGGGGTATCTGGGAAATGCAGACTTGGGGAGTGAGCTGACTGCTGCCGTCAGTGCCAGGACTGAGCTGTCCCAGGTCTCCTTGGGCTCATGGCCCCCCACAGCCAGCCCGATGGTGCAGACTCACGTCATGATTTTTGGCACACGCCTCATCTTTGGCTGTCCGCGCTCTTCCCTCTAATCCCTTTCATTATTTTCCACAGGGGAGAATAAAACTAAAGCACGCGGCTGAGTGGGTATTAGGAGAGGGCCGGCGCTCACGAAGGCCTGTGTGAGTGCTTCCTCTTGAATGAAAAGAAGCAGGCTACAAAGCAGTGTGGAGAGTCTGGCTCCGTTTTTATAAAAAAAATGCATACAAAAAGTCTAGAAGGATAACCACTGTAAGTAACTAGATGATGGGATAGCAGGCTTTTCTAACTTTGTCCGAAAATTTACACTTTTTCTGCCATGAGATATATTATGTTTTATATATAATTTTTTTTAGTTAAAGCTAAACTAAAGAAACAAAAGCGATAAGGAATCCCTTATAAGCTTTTCTGATTGCTGGTGACTTTCAAAGATTAGAATGCCCTTTGCAGTAAGTTGCCCACCATGGGGCTCTGGCACCCAGACGTAAAGCTGGGCCTTAGTCAGCAGAGAGCGCCCGCCCCCACCAGTGTGAGGTGCCCACGGTCAGCACCTAATTCCCAGAGTAGCCCTGGACCAGATGCTGGCTCAGATGGAAAGAACTGTTCCTGCCTGGCAGCCCAGAGGGGCTGAATCACTGGAGTCGAGGGAGTCCTGGAAGTAATCTGTGCAGCCATCGTGTTGACTGGCTCTGCAGTGCTCATGAATGCCGCCTAGGCCTGGATCTTCTTCCTGGAAACTGACTGTGGCTGGAGGGCTGGCAGACTGGCAGATGAGCTGCACACTCCTGCGCCCTCCCCCACCTCCTCTGCAGGGCACCAGCCCCATGCTCAAGCTGTCTCCTGTGTCCATAGGTGAAGTCCCGTGTGGGGGGCATAGACGCTGGGACGTCTGGTGGGGTAGGTCCCGAATGGGCCACCTTACCACTGCTCACATGACTGTCACCAAAGAACTGTGGCTGTCTGGTGTGTGAGGCCCCCTGTGACTTGCACACACCACCCGCTCCGCAGTCAGAACATATGGGGGGAGGGGAGGTGGCAGGCAATAGGCCATTACACCATAGAGAGCAGTGTCCTCGCTTACTCAAGGTCTGAGTTCTTCCAGAAATGGATGCCCCAGGAACCCAGGCAGCACACGGAGACAAGCCCCCAGCTGTCAGGACCTTGTCTCATAATTCATGGGGATGTGGCCAACAGCTGCCCATTTCAGGTCAGACCAGACAGGCAGGGACTGTCCCCCTTGTCTGTTGCATTGCAGACTTGACCTCGTCAAGGGGACTGCTCTACCCAGGAGTGTGCCCACCTGCTTCAGCCAGAGCCACTTGCCTTCTGGGTACTGGAGAGCCTTGGGGGGCTTGTGAAAGGGCTACCCAGTTGTTCTTGCCCCAGTGGTCTGGGGAGGCAGGCCTCTCCAACCATAATGCTTGTTGCTCATGAAAGGTCAAGTTCAAATCAAACCCCCAAACTAACTGCTATCACATCAGCCACACTGACAAAGAGCCTTCTGCAGAAACTGTCAGGGTTCCAGCCGCCTCAGTGCTTGCTTCAGGCCTCAGCGGGGGTGGGGACGAGCACGTTTTGGAAAGGAATGCCTTGGCCAGGGACCTGACATATCACATGACCCCCAGAAATTCTCTGGTGGCCTCTGGGGGCAACCCTGCCTAACCAGTTCACAAGCTAGTGCAGCTGCAGGGATGAAAACAGAAGCCGTGCTGGGGGCGACTGCACGTCTCCCTCAGAAATGCTGCTGCAAAGGTGGGAGGCACTCGGGCAGGGCGGCGAACGCTGCCTGAGGAAGGCAGAGTCACAGAGATGCGGCCTCCAGGAGCCCGCCAGGCCTCCAACTCTGTTCAATTATTCCACTCGCCACTGTCAGCGCACCCCAGCTCCGGGCCTGGCGCTGTCCTCGGCCTTGGGGAATGCGCAGGAAACCAAAGCAGGTAAAGCTGCTGTTCTGGGATCTCAAGTGGGGCATGGTGGTGCGTGCCTGAGACTGTGGGGGGCAGTGTGGTAGGCACTGCTGGGGGGTTGGGGAGCTGGGGCGCAGGAGGAGGCTCTTTCCAGAAGAGGCGTTTGAGCCAGACCTGCACAAGGACTTGCAAGGGTGCTCCAGAAGAGGGGGCAGCGAACGCAGAGGCCTGGGGAGTTGGGGAGTTGCCCCTGCGTGTGGGATGAGCAGAGAGTAGGAGCTGCCCGGTCACGTGGGGCCACGGGGACCCTGGTCAGGAGTTTGGTGCTGATTCTAAATGTGAGTTTAGGTAGTGGTTTGATGGGACTTCATTTGAGTTTTTAAAATATCCTCCGCTCTTCAAAGTTCACCAGGACAAAGAGGGAATAAGGGAGGATTGCAGCCAGTTTAAGGTTCCCTACCACTGCGGAGGGCTCCAAAAGAACCACCTGCGAAATTAAAAGAAAAAAAAGGAAGGGTGGGGCAGGGCCTTAAGAGGATCTGAACAAAGTATACCAAGATCCTTTACGCCTTCAGCAAACAGTAGGCATTACTGGCTGGCAGTGTGCTCCTCGGGGAGGGGGAGGACGGCAGTGTGTGGCTGGGGGTGCGTGCTTGGGTGCGAATGATCTTGCCTGGCCGGTTTTACCTGTGGAGCACAGCATTGTGACACCATCCCTATGGTGGTTGGACCTGCCTCATTAGCCTGTCTTGGGGAAGGGAACAAAATGTGATCATAACATACTAATAATTTGTTTCTTCTTACAGCAGTATTCTGTCCCAAAGCAACTGAACACACATTTTTATGCTGCTTTCTTGGCAAACAGGGGGCTAGACTGAGCCCTTCCCAGCAGTCCTGTGACAGTCACAGGACCACAGGGTCCCATCAAAGATGCCAACACTTGCCTGGCCCTTGGGGCTCAGCGGTTGAGTGTCGACCTAGGATCCAGGAGGTCACGGTTCGATTCCCGGTCAGGGCACTTGCCTGGGTTGTGGGCTCAGTCCCCAGTGGGGGGTGATCAATGACTCTCTCATCGTTGCTGTTTCTATCCCTCTCTCTCCCTCTCCCTTCCTCTCTCTGAAATCAATAAAAACATATTTAAAAAAAAAAAAAAGATGCCAACTCTTTCACCCTTTCCTGCTCTCCCTCCGCCTCATTCCCAGTGTGTCAGACTGTGGTCTTGGCATCCGCAAGCTGCCTGTGCGCCCTGAGTCCTGATTTCAGATACTGTCAGAGAATTCCAGAATAATCCTAGAGGCGAAAAGAGACAATTCCAAGCTGCTCGCCTACGTGGGGCCTGTTCAGGCACGCTGGGAGTTGTGCTGAAAGGAGAGGCTCCATTGCTCTTCCAGTTCAGTCCTCTGTGGTTGCCCAAGAGACGGCCCCTGTCCGTCACCACCCAGGCCTTCAGAGCTTCCTAGCGAGGCCTTGAGGACGCCCGGGCTGTCTGTGGTCAGAGCAAAATGTTGCACAGGCCCAAGGCTGAAGCACTGGCAGAGTCTCCGAGCCGCCTGCGTCTGTATCTGTACTGCCTGCCTGCCCTCTGTGGCGCCACGTGGCTACAGACTTAGTTTCTACCTCTCCTTACTCGGCTGCCCTCTAAGGATACTTTGCTTTTGTCAGCTCCACTCTTGGCAATGAGTCCATAGACAAGGGATAGTGGAAAACAAGAGAGAAAGTTGGACCTAGAGAAAAAGAGAGAGAAAAAACCAGAACAAAGACATCTGAAAGCAAGAAAACAGAAAGAATGGTGGGAGAGAGAAGCACCAACACAGACTGTCAGGGAGAAATGCGGGTTGAGAGTTAATTGTATTTAATGCTTTGGACAGACTGAGCCACATGTGCCACAATCATATGAGGAAAAAATATTCTCAGGTGAGAATCAACAAGAACAACAAAAAGGATTGGCAAAAAAAAAAAAAAGCCCACAAAACCCCCTGTAAAACAAAAGGCATAAACTAAGTAAAAAGATAAGTGAAGATTGGCAGAAACTATTTGCATCATATATGACAAACCCAATGTTAATTGCCTTGATATGTATATAAAACACCTACAAATCAATTTTAAAAGAAACCAACAACCAGTCCAGTAAATTTTAAAAAAATGAGCAACGGACACGAACAATTAGCTTGTAGCCAAGGAAGGACGCATGGCTTCATATCCGTAAAGATGCTTAGGCTCACTCCTAAGAAGAGAAATGCTTCTTTTCACCTATCTGATTAGCAAAGCTGAAAAAAAAAAAAATCTGATAAATTGTATCAGTGAAGGTGTGAGGGAACTCAGACATGACAGCGGGGGGGATGTAATTTCATCAAACCTCTATGAAGGGTAATATAATATCTCTATTTAAATTGTAAATAGCCTCTGACTTAGCAGTTTCATTTCTCAAGCAGTTCTATGGATTTCTCAAGAATGTCAAGGACATACATTTCAGAGTTGTTTGTATTGGCAGAAGATTGGAAACAACCTAAATGTCCATCCACAGGAAATTCATTAAATAAAAATGATACATGTATCCCATGGCATTCTATGTAGCCGTTAAAGGAAATGGGCCACTCCCTGAGCGCTGTTACAGAGCTATCTCCCCCCACCTCATCCAGGGGAGAAAGCAAGCTGGCTGGGGAAAGGGGAAGCAGAGCCTGGGGGGTGCCTTCAGAGAAGAGAGGGAGGCTCATTTTTCAGTTTATTTCTGCAGCTGATCTCCAAACCCATTTCCTCTTCCTTCTGGGTACACAGCTTGACTGACTGGCTTCCCAGCCTCCTGTTTATGGAGGAACGGAAGCGACGGAATTCTAGCTAATGAAACAGGCTCAGCCCACAAAACCGTCCCATGTGCCATCCTTAATGCTTTTCTCCCCCTCTTCTGGTTGTGACTTTGGGAATCAGGTGATGACATCAGAGTCACACAAAGAAAAGCGCTGGGGTCCCTCCTTCCTGCCTGGAGGGGACCTTCCCAGTGAGACTCAATGGGAACAGGGACTTCATTGTCGTTAGCCGCTGGCATTTCACAGCATATTTGTTGTGGCAGCTCTGTTAACTATCTCGATATCCTTTTGATACCACATTAGCACTTCCAAGCAAAACAACCACACACACTGCTGGCTTCTTTCAGACTGTGGATCAACACCTGAGCCTGGTACATCACAGCTGGGCCTTGGTCAACCTCTTTGGCCTCAGGTCCTGGGGCTCCAGCCTCAAACTGCTACCCAGTCACTTGCTGCCTAAATGTGCCCCTTTCCTCTGCTCCTCTACTGTCAAAACATACCTGGCACACCTTGGTCATCCGGTTGGAATGCACACAGTCGACCCCTACCCATCCCGCTCCCTTTCCAACATCTCACTCCTCCCAGCACCCTCAGTGCCCAGCCCCAGGATGTCCATGGAATGAAACAGATGGCAAGGTCCTAATGGCCACCCCTGCCCTCCTGTAGTCCACTCTCCACAGAATGAGACCAGTACGTTTAGGATGCAAATCAAGTCCTCCTAGTTCTAAACCCCTCACCCCTGCCTCCTAAGCGCTACCTGCCTGGCCCCGCCCAGCTCTCCATCTCCCCTCGCTCCCCTCCCCTC